TTGTTTTTTTAACAGATTTTCTAAATGCTGTATAAATAATATTGATAGTATATAAAAATGTATAAGTATATAATAATAATGTTATTGTATTCAACATATATATGAATGTAAGTGTGCGTCGCTCCAAGGTCTGTGAGGCGGTCAGGGCCGAACGGTTGTTACTCTAACGGGGAGGTGCGGACTTGGAAACACACAAATAGATTACACGAACACACAGACAGACACACATACATACTACCATAACATATACATATATAGAAGTATCAAAACATATTAGGAATGAGTGACAATAATTTAGTTTACATATATCTGTTATGTATTTAATTAAGATGTTCATTACTAAATCTTTTTAGTATTTTTAAATAAAATTATATAAGTACCGACGGTCTCAATATTGTAAGAAAAATCTTTAAAACTATAGTAAATACTATATGAACGAGTTGTTTAAATTACGATGAAGTTTATATTGATTTTGTAATAAAATAAATATAATTATGTTTCTTTAAATCATGTCATGTGTTCTGTAGACCATATTTTCTCTTGCCGTCGGATAAAAGAGTGTGCTGATGTAATCTTGTGTACGTGTATAATATATATATATATATATGTATATCAACAATAGAAAATGTAGATAAATATATATTGTATTATGAAATAAAATAGTTTAGTGAAATGTTAGTTATTCTATGTTGAAATATTTCTTTTTGTTATCAGTTATAAGTGTAAGTAAAAATAAAGTGATTTGCTTCACTAACTGTTGGTTTGTTAAACTTTCATATTGTACCTAAGTAATGTTCGTTTAATAGAATTATTGATGCAGTTATTTTCCATAAGTATTTTTTTGTATTACGTTCTAGTATATATTGTGAATATATAAATATGTGCATTTGTAATAAATTATTATTTGTTTAATATATCACATGATTAGGGGCTGTCCATTAATCACGTGAGGCTTGAAAGGGGGGGGTGGGGTTTGATAAAAATCACGAAAATATCACAAGGGGGAGGGGGGGGGTGTAGTAAGATATCACGTGTATTTATTTTTTCGTCTAACGCGCGATTTTTAAACAAATATTAAAAAAAAACTTGCAACCTGGTGTAGACATTTTTATTATGGTCCTTAATTTCAGAATAATATAAGATTATAGTTTATACCTGTATTTAAATTAAGATAATATTCAGAAAATTTTAAGATTCGTTGTAGCTACTAAAAATACACGTGATGTTGAGAAGGGGGGGGTGTCTTAAACCTCACGACGTATCACTAATGGGGGCGGGGGGGTTAAGAAATGCTAAAAAAAGATCACGTGATTAATGGACAATCCCTTACTACAAGTATATTTTTTTCACAAATCTTAAATATTTTTATTTCAGGTAAAAGAAAAATCCCCAATATTCTTTATGAAATAAACTCCACCCGTCAAATATTTCTAACAACAAATTCCGCCTTGATTTCAATGATTAGGGTGAATGACATGAAACTAGGACACAGTCTAGACCACGACCACGACCTAGACCACCACGACCTAGACTACGACCACGACCTAGGACTACGTTTAGTCTAGATTATTCAAGATTATTATATAACAATAATAAATAATAATAATTTTTTTCCATTAAATATTAAATCAATTATTATATACAGAATTAATTTCACTTTTCTTACATTGTTTTTGGAGGTTTAAATTATTGATATAAAATTTATGTGGCTGACAAATTGTATAATTTAAGTTCTAAAACAACTTAGAACTCAAATTATACAATTTGTTCTATATATTTAGTTTGTATTAAAGAATATTTTAAATATATGTTAGTAATTGGTGTCAGGTATTCACGTGGACTTCCGCCAAATTTTCCAAGGTCTTCCACGACCTAGGCCTACGTCGCTAGTTATTTTAGCACTAACCTAGGACAAGGCTTCATTAATACACACACACACACGAACACACACACGAACACACACACAAATTCACACATTTCATTATATATAAAATATTATTTAAGTATATAGTATATAATATGGCGAAATCATTAGAACTATATGCTTAATATGTATTATATGTATGTATTGCTAGTGGAGAGGGGGATATTTCTATATATATGTGTGTGTGTGTGTGTGTGTGTGTGTGTGTGTGTGTGTGTGTGTGTGTGTGTGTGTGTGTGTGTGTGTGTTTATAATATGAGTGTGTGACGTCATCGTTACTACGTCATAACTATCGCCGTCCGTCCGCGTCGGGTGTGCTGGCTAACCTTCCAAAAGGACATTGACACATGGATCACAAAAAACTAACACATGTATGAACAGATATCCAAACGAGCAGAATGGTTATGTATGCTTTATATAATTATGAAAAATTTATGAATCTAATTTGAAATGGGTGAAAATTGGGTGAAATTTTAACTATTTTTCTATTTTTCATTAGTATAATATCTTCAATAGTTCAGAAAGTATATTTATGTAACATATTTTTACTATTTTTGTGTCTAAATCTCAATCTCAATACTTTATATTTTGTCTCGATGTTATTCTTAGTGCATTCTATTTGTAGACTATCAAATGTTGTAGTGTTGACCTAGGACATAGATCCGTCTCGTACGACCTTGTAGCGGTCGTTACTACTAACACATACCTAGCGCTAGCCAGCACGATGATTGGTCTGTCAGTGCACGTTTAAAATAATTCAAACATTACATATGATATGAGTAAATATTTTTGTAAATAGATTCAAATTTTGTGACATTGTTTACTCAAACAAATGACGATAGTTTTTTTGTATCGATTTGAATTTAAAATAATAGAGAAACAAACAGCAGTAAATCAATTAAGGCGTGTTTAAAATTCGTATGAGCAAGTCAACGGCCGCTAGCCTAAGGTCGCCAGGGCACGTTATGGTAGGTCGACGGCGAGTTAGTTATAGAAACTAAACGCGACTCTGTGTCTCTGTGTGTGTGTGTGTGTGTGTGTGTCCGTCTGTGTCGACACTGACCTAACGCTCGCCAACATAGTTAGATGTGACGAACCTGTTCCACGTCCGCCGCTATGGACCACGTATAGATTTAGGACGAAAGAATTATATCGCAAATTATATGTTAGCAATAAAAAAACATTATTCTATATCTACAATGTATGTTTGATATCATTTTATACATACTTTCAAGCGATTTTTATTTGCATTTTATCAAACTTTAGTTTTATATGAGTTTTAGATTCACAGAAGCAACGCCGCGTGCTCGAACTATACATCCTCAGATCATTGAACTATTAAACAAAATATTATAATGTGTTAGCGGCGACACCGTCCGCTGGCAGCCTGTCCTTGACTGGCGACCTTGCTGCGCCCGCGCATCTATTATGATAAAACGAACTATTTGAAAATCACTCGCATACATAACTACTCACAACGGTACATCGGCACCAGCTAACTTATACATAGTTCTGAAACAATTACATATAAGTAAAACTTCAATTATAATGTTCATGATAATGGTAGCCGCGTCATATCCTGTTAATTTCGTCGTATCTCCTAGACAAGGTCGTGTAGGTCGTGTAGTCGCTAGTCATTGCTGTGTCATTGGAGCTAGCAAGGTGAATTATATTTAGTTAAGAGTCTATTAACGATTCGGCTATGAAGCTATACGAGTACATGTATGATGTCACGATGACACTCGACTGTTTTGACATTGTTTTTTGTGTTATTTGACTATGATATTTGACATTATTAGTACATATATAGCAATGCTTTGGTCTATGTAAACATATAGCTGGTAATGGTAAAGCAAACCAGGAGTATATAACAATATGTGGCGATATATTCCCAATTGTTTATACTTGTATGTGGAGGCAAGTGAACTCTACACGTGCGATGAAATGCTTCTACATGTGCTGACTTATCTTAATATATCTTTTCGTTGTTCTATATGCTTTAGGTAGAACGAACTCAAATAATATTGAAGGTTCCAATTATAATTGATTTAATAATATTAATTAAATATGAGGAATATTTTAGCTGGTACAATAGCTCAGGGTCTCTCGGGACCCCTCTCTGGTTCCTAATTGAATGGGTCATTTGCGCAATATACATTAAAAATAACATCCGCACTATTTGAGTGATTGCGAACACATTCTAGTTAATATTGATATACGTGTAATAATGTGAGTGCACTTAATGTTCATTTATCATTCCAATTTGGATATTAAATTGTAATAAACGGACATCAACCTGTGGCCATTTTTTCGTTCGTAATAATTTTCAGTCGTAAAACTCGTTAACTTGATGTACTATTAACATTTATTATCAGTATATAATCAGTGTATAATTAATTATTATTATTCTCAAACTTAAGTTTAGAATATAAAAAGGTCTAATCTCTAACCGCGTGCAAAACAAAAGGTGTCTAAGAACCTGCGCCCGCGCAGCTTGTGTACCTGTGTGCGTGTCCTATAGAACAGAGGGTCTTAGAAGACGCTTTAAGACAAATATTATAATAAATAATATTCTATAGAATAAAAATAATATATTACATCAGCGTACTGTCATAAATAAGACTGTGATTAGCAAAAAACGGACGACGAACAATGAATAGTAGTGCGGGTGTTCGCTGAGTGTAGTTATAGTTATACGATATGTCCTCTAGCAACAAGGACGCGAGGCCGACAACTCGCCGACAAACCTCGCTATCGATCTAATACGCCGACATGTCACATAGGACACACTCATTTCACATGAATTAAGATAAAACAATGTCATCGCGACACACATACACTACATCCGTCAACATGTCCATGTACCGCTCCTCCAACACTGAATGTTGTCAATATCTTTATTCCCTACTAATGGACAGCCGGCCGCTGCTGCCCCGCTTGTATATAATTGAATGGATCTGATGCGGTTTGATTATTTACAAAGCGACGCCGAATCTAAAATTATTATTTTAAAAATAGTTCCGCCCGTCCGATGGTCCGAGGCGATTTTTATTATTTTCTATTTGATCGGATAGCTTCACGTGGAACACTCGGTCGCGGGATAGTTACAAGGGTCCTCTATTTTCGGAGGGTCTGTGGAGCCGTGGCGACCTTTACTAAATATTTTTTGCTCCAATTTCTTCGGAGGTATTTTTATATAGCGACCCATCGGAGCACGAGGCAACTATGAACGTCGAACACTCTATGTACACGAGACACTTCACAAATATAAATAAAATTAATGTTAGAAAACATTATTAACGCTCTAAATAATACATTAGCATTAATATGAAAAATGTTATATATTTTGCCCTTTTTTTTGTAAAAGCCCTTGTAACGAGCTAATGGCCCTGTCGGGAGGCAAGCTTTCCTAGCTAATTATGATGTATGGATATTATAATTACGTTCCTCGAGTATTATATTTTTATTATAAAAAATACTATATAAATATGTTTAATTAATTAGCTAATTAGTATCTAATAAGACTGTATTTGAATGGATCGCTGATGACGCACTTCAGAGATGGCGAGTTAGTGTCGAGAGTTTTATATTCCATTCAATAAAATATATTATGGAGGACGGAATGTGATGTACAATGTACGAGGAAGAGAGGAGTCGCAGCGGCTCGTCATGAGGACTCATAACTGTTCCAGAAGTCATATCGAATATTTGTAACTGCGCCCGCGCCACCTCCTCGACCGGGATACTGCCGGGGCCTGGCTGGCCGGCTCCTGCTGCCCGCTCGTCTCCAAACGGAATGCTTTTAACGAAATTAGTCAGAGTTCCCGAAAAACACGGCCGTCGACCCCTCAGGGCGGCACCTAAATATTTTAATGCTAAAAAAAATCACCATGTTTACATAACACGTCGAAATTTTAAAGAAACTTCGCGCCGAAGGGCCACCGACGCACACAGATAAAAATTTCGTGAGTGGTGCATGTGTGCGTGTCACACACACGAGGAAGACATAAAAATGCCCAATCGGTACATGACGCACGAACACAAACACAGCCAAGGGACTACGTAAGTCGCATACAAGTGCATAATTCGGCCGAGATGCAAAAAAAATATTTGGCAATGCGGCCCCTACGCGCCCGCCAGTCGCCCGCCCGACAGGGTTAGGTTAGGTTAGATTTTTTGGCTCAAAACGCTCCTTGGAGATTTTTTGAAAAGTATTTAACGTTCGGCCCGCTAGGAAAAGCCGCTCTTCCTGTCGACTTTATTAGCGCCACTCAGTACGTCGCAATTTTTTGAATAATAAAGAAGTCGAGGCACGCGCGCCTCCACACAGATTCTAATAAGAATTTCGACTTACTGTTTCGATTTCTTTGTTGATTATTATTTATTTAATTATTATTATAACCGTAAGTCTCCAGCGAGCGTGTGTGTTCCCGGTCGGGCGGCGCGTGTTCTAACCCATCGTATTCCCGCAGCCGTCCTCATGATGATCTTCGTCTTAACGTAACCAGCACTTCTTCTCCACCTCCTCGAGCTGTTCGCCGCTGCAGTGACTTGTGCCGTGTTGTGATATACTTTGACTATTATTTACAATTTTTGTTTTGGACTCTTGTGTTTTTTGGTTCATTTGATTTCGGTGAGTACTTATATTTTTTTATTTTATTTTTTATATTTTATTTCGTTTATTAATTACGTTATTTGTTGGTTGTGTTATCGATTTATTTCGCGTGTCGGTGTCGGACCCTCGTATATGGGGGAGGTAGTATTGTACCATTGTGTGCCGCGGATGTTGTCGGTATATTAAAACACAGGTTTTCTAAACAATTTCTTTAATAAAAAGCTGGCTAGACAAGGACACGTCTCCCTGTGACGTCAGCATCACTAGGCACTGCCGACTACTGCCGCCATCTTGATTCTCTGTTTTTTACGAAGCCTACAAAGTGCGCGCGCGCACCGCCATGTTGAATGTTATATTAATAAAATATATATTATACATAGAAAACTATGTAACTATTAGTGTAATATTGATTATATGTAAAATAACATACTGGTGCTAAGAATTTAACATAATACATTAGTTAGAACATTATTTATTCTTAGAGAGATTTTCAACTTTTATGCTTGAAGCATATGGTGTTAAATTTACTTAATTTGTGAAAATATGATGTAAGTTTCTTGAAAAATACAATATTATAGATACATAAAAGAGATAGATTTGTTCGACAGATCAATGTTTCAATACATTTTTTAATTTCGTTTCAATGATCCTCGTATTTTTTTATTTAAAAATTAAATTCTACATCGTTTTAAAAATCCTAAATATTATAAAAGCCCTAACGTAGCTGAGTGTGGGGAGATTAACTGAATCAGATTTGAATGGATCGGGAACAGTTGTTGCATGCGGACCAGGAGGTATAAATACGAGGATATAAACTAACATACATATAATAAATAACATATAAAACTATGTTACAGAATTTACACTCAGAATAACATGAAATAAATATCATTCATACATATAAAACTTTAAAAACAACATGATTTTATCTATTTAAAATTTAGAAAAAATATCTTAATTTTTAAGTATTTTTACTGTGAAACACTAATGTTTTTATCAAATTATATACATGTATTTATGGTTTATAAGAAGTTTTTAATTTTTATATATACATGTTATGTGTCTGTCTGTACGTGAATGGTAATGGTCCATCTCTCATTGCCGAATAGGTAACTTCCTGTGCGTTATTTTCTTTGACAGCGGGACATCTTTTATCTAGGCCCAATTACTGTGAAAGGGATCCACAGTTTAAATACATGGACTAATAGAGATCGTTCACGGACCATTTATACAATGATTTGAAGAGATTGATAACAATTTGGATGAGACTTTATAATGTTTTAAATAATTTAAGAGACGAACTTTTGCAATATATTAATCAATATCATCTTGTTTTTATATATAATAATTAAAGCTTATAGTATAGTATAGTATAAAAAAAGTCCTATATGTAATGTATAATAGAAAATATATGAAGAATAAGTAATAATATGAACCGGAAATCGAATCCAGCACCGAGTGAAGGCGTGGCCTGAACGACCGTCAAACGCCTCGCTCACCGGCCGCCGGGCACGGGCGAGCACAGTGTTATAAAACACCAAGTTTCTTTGTGTAACACGAACACTGTGCCGGATTTACGATCTGCTGGAAAACAGCACCGTGTGTCTCGATCTGTGAGCGAGGAGCTCGTTTATTATTAAGTTTTAAAATTCCTTGTCGACGTTTTTACTGTTCTGTTGTAACGGCCCGAGTTGTTTCCTGATTTACATTTAATTACTAATTACTTATATTCATTTAATTATTTATTTTTATGTGTATCTGTTTACCGAAAACTCGTGAATACCGTTTCAATGTACATCAGGGCTGATACATGGGATAAACGGTTATATAAAGACGATATCAAATGTTATTATAGCAGAAATAACTCAATTTTATATAGATGTTATTGTAGCAACAAAATTTTACTGCAAATAAATTATAACTTAACGATTAATACAAAAAAATCTGCCCACTTGTTTGTTTGTTTCTTCCTGTTAGAATCGAATCCAATAAGACAGAACATTATTTATCTAGTCATAAAACTTCATCATGACGAGAAACTTGCAAAATGTAGCCCTTTACACGAGTAAAACAAGTAACAAAACGTAGTATCAAACAAATAAACAAAATAATTCGTAAATTTAACGGTAAGCATATCCGCGTGAAGCGATATGTTTCAAGAGCACTATAGATGTTAAGGAATAAGGAAAACTGTCGGTTGTCTTGTTCATTGCAGACAACCTTGAGAGTGGATGCACTGGCACGGGAACTTGGTCCTTAATACGTAGGGTATAGGGTCGGGAAAAGGCTGACGGCTGACCACAAACGAGGAGTTGCTCTTTGTACTGATGGAGGTCAGGTGGCCGAGGGAACAGAACCGCGGTACAGCGGTAGTCTAACATAACACACACACGACTAGCAGCATAGGCCTAAATGTATCGCTGATAACGCCATAGATGCGCACGCGCACAGCCGCGGTAAAGGTTAATCGACTGTTCAAACATAATAGGCTTCACTTTTATTTCCCTAAATAGAAAACCTCAAGGCTGACCGGTCGGCTGTGAGGGTTTTGTTGTGATCAAACTTTCCTTTTACCGAACAATTACAGTAGTATGAAAAAACACCTTCCTATGAAATCGATGACTTTAGGATGGTGAGGAGTAAGGAGTGAGGAGTTACATCATCTAGATGCTAGATAAGTTCAACACACGCCACTGACGGCGCGTTCACCCGGTTATCTGATGTCTTTCATGTAACATACACACACTGAAACACTGAACGAGCTTCAGGAGAGATACGACGACATAACAGGACTGAATGGGAGGGACAGGGAAGCTACCGGCCTGTGGCATACAACAACATGTCTGGGAGACGAAATAATTAGATAATACAGTGATTTGATAACGAGAGGCTTACTCCTGTTATGAACACAGGAGAAATAACGGACAGAGAAGTCCAAGAGGAGATGAAGCTATTACTATGTAAAACGGACCATTTAACTAAACCTTTATTAGCTATAATTTATCTATCAATATATATACATTTTAGTTTCAATATTAAAAGAGTTGAGAGTAACAAATAAAGCATATAAATTGGATCAAAAAGAATGTATATGTGTGTGTCTTTTGTGTTATTTGAAATGTAACGAGGGAGGGAGAAAAAAGAAGTGCATCAGTGTTAGGGGAGGGGAGGGAGGGCAGCGGAGAGAGGGGGACGGGCTGGGAGGAGGGGGGTTTCGAAAGTTGCACGTCACCTTGACCTCAATCTGCGTGTGCGCATGCAATTAATGCAGTTTTTATAGTGAGTGTGTTACAACGAGGGCTTAGAGCTGGGGGAAGCATGACGACAGCAGCGTCTTGATGAAGGAGGAATGTTCACAACAACATATAAAACAAAAAATAAAGGACTATTTGACTGATATAATGCAGCTTCACTTAAAAGACCAACCACATGATCCTAGTACAATAATATACACTAATTTATTACATTAAATAAGTATGAGAGATATGGGAAACATTATTATAAAAAACAGTTCGTTCCAATACAAGCCTACACATTTATAGTTGTATTAATTGAATAAGGGATACATGGCATGTGTTGTGACGGAGGGTTCTCGTCAAAGGGGTTGGAACACACCACCTTCCTGGAAACTAACGGAGTTGTTTCCTTGAAGTATTAATTCACGATCGTGTCACGGTACACATGAGATTAGATCTCAAGATAATTATCAAGATAATACCTTATAAAATTTATTTATAATATAAATTAAAGAGACTTTTATGAAATCTGATGATTGAAAATAAATTTGTAGTTTCTATGTCAAAATACTTGTTACTTTAACATAATAATATTTCTGTAATATATAATACTATAATTTCCAAGACTTCACCCCCTCCCACTTCTACCTCTAAAAAATAAAATAACTATTGGTACAACAGAACAAGCTTATGCAATTTGAAAGTTCTTATAAATAAGACTTAGTTCGTTTGTGACACAATAACTACTAAACAGTTAGTCATCAATTCCGGTATATAGAGGGTAGAAAACGAGTGAACCTGGATTCTTATAAAAAACGTGCAAAAGACCCTAACAATTCATATTCGCAAAAGTTTATTTTTATCCTTGTCATATCATATGGTAAAGAAAGAGAGGGTAGGAGTCACTTCCAGAGTCGCCACAATCTCAATTATCCACTATTATCCAAAGTACGCTATACATTTTGAGGTTTATCAGTCATACTCATCATCAGGGTAACATAGCTTTAGGTCATCAAATCTTGGTCTTTTGGTCAGACATCCAATATAAATGTATCACTACTCGATCTAACTTTCTAATGAATTAACATACCGTCGTATAATATTGGTATATACTTAATATGTATTACGTGGTGGTACCACGCACCATCACACCACCTCGGAAGAAGTGGTAATGATATAACATTATCAAAAATTTTCTTCTAATTAATAAGAATACTGAAGGAAACACAATCTAAAAATATCTTTATAATTATGATATCTAAGACTTTTGAGAATATTTATTAAAATTAAACTACATAATATTTTCTGATTATTATTACACGTTTTATAATTTGAAAAATGTCTTGCATGCCACTTGTCTTGCTTGCCCAAAATAATGCAAAGTAATCCGAAAATATTACCTTTATTCTTTAAAATTACACTCAATTGACTTTGCAGTAAAAAAAATGTAAAAAAAATCAAAGACATACAAAAATTAAAACATTTTATTTATATACATAGTTTGAAGTAATCGTATTAAATCATTTATACATCGCTAAGCTATCACAACGTAGGCAAAAACACAGCGATCATGATTCATCATTCTAAACATAGTTACAAAACACATATTAGTGTTTGCCTACGACTTTGTCCGCGACGACGCTGAAGATATATCCATATATGTATTATGTTTAAATGTTAAATATACGGAACCCACTACGAGGTCTATAGACCACGTCACGTGACTTCATACACAATACTACTGTTGTACCTTAATACTTTAAAATCTGCAAATAACTTCAGAATATACAATAGCCTGTATTATTCTGATGTGTAAGCTAGATTATCACAAAGATTCATTAAATTCCGTTAAGTAGTTTTAGCGTTAAAGACAAACAAACATGTATAAATCTTCCATTTATTAGAGGGATTTTTATATGTGGACATTTAGGAGAATTTTAAAGGAATAAAACATATATATGTATAACAATACAAAAAACAGTAATCGTAGATAATATTAATTTTGTAAAACATTGCATTACGATGAAGTCATAAAAATTGCATTAATATTTAAAAAAACATAAAATAGCCGTCTAGCTCACCTTCAACGAGCGTGATAAGACTTCGCAGTTCAACAATCTAATTTACATCTTATTCTCTTTGAATATGAATGAAAATTGCCTAACTGTGCATCACAATGAGAAAAGCCACAGGCTAAAACGAGTCTTAAAATAAATTATTAGAGTCTAAACTCGTCTGAGGTTTGTCAGAGCGTCGCTCTTAGAACAGTCTATAATACTTTATAGAGGACGGCGGTTAGGACTCTGTGGAATTAGACAGAAACACCCGAAATGCATCGAGAGGTGAACGAACGCTCCAAGGACAGTGCATTACGTTTTAAAATTTAAAGCTAGCGCGCCAATAGAAGGAAGCGTCTAAATAGGGACGCCATCTTGACGACACAACACAACAACGCGCTTTAAATAACGCCATTTGCATTTTTTTGATATCTCAAAGCGAACGATAAAAGAGCGGGAAATTATAACTAAATTATTTCATAGTTGTCTTTAACGAACTGGTATTGATAGTATAATTAAGTTAAATTATCATTCACTTGCAAACTTTTAAATACATTTCTTAACATTGAAATCATGTGACGACTGCCATCTTTACAGTTTACAATATATTCGTTAATACTTTAAAATAAGAAGTCAATTGAGTATTTGTAAATCATTAAACAGACGAAATATAAATAACTATAATAGTATTTTCAATTCCTAGACTTTATTAATATTATTTGTACGAAGAAATATATAATTGTATGACAAATATGTCTATGCGTCATAGACTTGACCTTGCGCACGGACATTAGTCGTGGCTCGTCTATGAAACAGGATTCATAACTTATTATATATTAGGATGGTCAGTTTAAATATTATTTATAACTGGTTTTATATATTTATTTTTATATATTGGTATTATTAAATTTTAGTGAGTTAGCATAGATTATATAGAACATTCTAGAAGGTTAAATCGAAATGTTGTTTTTATTTATTTTCTTGTGTAGGTATATGTGTTATTAAAGAACCTAAAATTTATGAAAATTAATTTATTGAATGAGACTTTTAATATTAGACGATATACATTATTCTGATAAATATTTAAATATCTCTATTTATCGCCGGAAATAGCTTCGATACAGCTCAGAAGCTGACAATAAAATTCTATGGATGCTATCTTTGTAATCAAAATTAGCTTTGAACATGTCTCGTGTTCTGAATTTGATATAAAAACTATTTTAAAGGAATTATCATATAGATTTAACGAGCGACGCCGCGGTATTGACTAGTATATAATATATAAAAGGCTACGATAAAGGTTTTAGTATAAAGATGGCGCGAGTCGAGAACCAACTGAATGTTATAAACCAAAAATAAACCACGAGTGGCTTACACACTAGTGGAAATGAATTTAGTACAGAACTAGTGAGGACGGGCTCACGATAATAATATATTATTGTTTTAGTGACGACCAATATAAACTGACCTCCCTTCGAAGGCTATTCGTACGTCCTCGCTAAACAATCACCAGTTTTTTCAACATTTGAGTCATTTATTATATTCGTTGCGAGTTTTAAATTATAATTTATGTAAATCGATGACTTCCACATTTTATTACATTAGATTATTCATGGATAAGGTTGAACGCACTCCGCTGAACGCCGTACTGGTGGAGGTTATGTTTTTTGGCTGCTTTGTAACACGGGGACGTCACATCCTTTATTTATATCCTAACACCTTACATACAAATTATCGACATTTAAATTCACATCACTTTGTATGTTTCTATATTTATCGTGAGGTTTCTATCGACTCTCGCCCATCCCTAGTGTATCTAAGTCGACAGCTGTGTGTTAGTGTGCGTGACCTTGCCGCTGCGTTTCGGTGGTCATTCACCCCGATGCATTCCCAACCCTTGACTTTGGCAACGCTATTTATGAACATATAACGTATAGCTAACATATATGATGTGAGAACTTTGAGATTTAGTTTAATAACATTAATAATATATGATGATGGGTAAAAAAAAAATAGTCAGTTATTGAAGCAATGACACATCGCATACAGCCTTGTAAAAATAAATATATTTAATAATTAAAGATAACA